AGTTTTCTTCATCACTAAGAAACTATGTTAAAAGACTATAAATTAATGACACATATTTTTAATATATTTGTAATAATTAAAATTAAATGGTAAAGTTCGATATTATTTTTATTCACCATATTCACATTATATTATGGTATAATATATGTAAAACCTTTCAAAAGATTGCCTCTTATCCGTCACCAAATTTTAGGTTTCTTCGTCACTAAGTAACTAAGTTAAAAGTCTTTAAATTAATGATGCATATTTGATATATATTGGTTATAGTTAAAATTAAATAATCAAGCTCAATATTGTTTGTATTCACCATGTTTATGATGTAATATGGTGTAAATAAGATAAAAACTTTCAATATTTTTCTTCTTCTTTAACACCAAATTTTAGGTTTCTCCATTACTAAGAAACTAAGTTAAATTACTATAAATTAATGAGACGCGTTTTATATATACTGGTAATAATTAAATTTAAATGATATAGCTCGATATTATTTTTATTACTATATTCACAATATATTTTGATATAGTATATGTAAAATATTTACAAGGTTTTCTTCTTCTCTGTCACAAAATGTTAGGTTTCTTCATCACTAAGGAACTAAGTTAAAAGTCTTTAAATTAATGATGCATATTTGATGTATATTTGTTATAATTAAAATTAAATGATCAAGTTCGATAATATTTTTATTCACCATATTTATAATGTAATATGGTGTAACAGAAGTAAAAACATTCAATATTTTTCTTCTTCTTTATCACGAAATTTTAGGTTTCTTCATCACTAAGAAACCTAGTTAAAAGACTATAAATTAATGACACATATTTTTTATATATTGGTAATAATTAAAATTAAATGATCAAGCTAGATTTTATTTTTATTCACCATATTCTCATTATATTATGGTATAATATATGTAAAAAAATTTAAAAGATTGTTTCTTCTCCATCACTAAATTTTAGGTTTATTCATCACTAAGTAACTAAGTTAAAAGACTATAAATTAATGAAACATATTTTTTATATATTGGTAATAACTAAAAATAAATGATCAAGCTCCGAATTATTTCTATTCACCATATTCACCTTAGATTATGGCAAAATATATGTAAAACATTTAAAAAAATTTCTTCTTCTCCATCACAAAATATATGGTTTCTTCATAACTAATAAACTAAGTTAAAATACTATAAATTAATGACACATATTTTAGATATATTGGTAACAATGAAAATTAAATAATAAAGCTTAATATTATTTTTATTTATCATATTCACATTATATTACGGCATAATATATGTAAAACATTTCAATATGTTGCATCTTCTCCATCGTGAAATTTAAGGTTTCTTCATTACTATGAAACTAAGTTAAATGACTATAAATTAATGACACGTATTTTATATATATTGGTTATAATTAAAGTTAAATGATCTAGCTCGACATTATTTTTATTCACCATATTTAAGCCTTGTAAAAGGACCTCGCTCCAATGATGGTCTGTGTTTTATCTCCAATAATGTTCCCATCCTGTTGAGATTAGCCGAGTGTTGGGTTGTGCTATGATGTCTTATCATCTCCAGTTTATCTTATCTATTTGTTTTGTCAGCACATACACGGCATTCATTTATTCATTCACACTTGCATCATGCACGCACAGTTGATTTGTTGATGTCATTAAGTTCGTATACCTTGGTTGGGTCTATTCAAATAGCATATTTGATCTTTCCAAATAGAGTGTCAACTTAAGCAGAAAGTGCGCCTCTTTTCTAATTCCCCACTGAGTTAACTCTCGTGGAAGAATCTTGCTTTAGCTTTCCTTTTCCATCTCTGGATAGGATAAATCCCCATTTGAGTTGTTTCCTCATTGGGTGGAGTCTTGTTTGACTATTTTCTCTCCAGTTTATTCCTGGATTGAGCTTTGTCTCTTGTGAACGATACCCTGTGGATCTCTCTAAGCTGTGAAACCTAGATGGAGAGTGCATTTATTTTGCAACGTAAATACTTGGTCTCCTCAAGAAGGATTTATTCATGGTTCCCCATTGAAGATGAACTTTATTCCCCAGTAGGGTTATCACAACCTTCTTCTGGAATATCGACATGACAACAAGCGACTGACTCTTTATTTGAGCAGTTTGATTATTTCTGATTTCTCTACGACAAATGGCGGTCTCTTCATGAGCAGTTTGTCCACCCCCAATGAAATTATTGGCTCTCACCTCCAGCAATATCTTCACGATATTTTATGGGTATCTTTTTGGGAAACAGCAAGCGGCAGTCTCTTCATGAGGCAACTTGTGTGTTATGGATACTCTTGACAAACAGCAAGCGGCAGTCTCTTCACGAGGCAACTTGTATATTATTGACACCTCGAAAAACGGCAAGTGGAAGTCCCTTCATGGGTAGCTTGTACGTCATTTTTTCTTTTGAAAACGGCAAGTGGCGGTCTCTTCATGAGCAGCTTGTACGGAAAATGGCAAGTGGCAGCTTCTTCATGAGCAGCTTGTACGTTAGTATTTTTGGAAGACAGCAAGTGGCAGCTTATCTATTTGAGCAACTTGTGTGTTATTGTTCCCTTGAAAACATCAAGCGGCAGTCTCTTCATGGACAACTTGTATGTTATTAACAACTTTCAAAAATGGCAAGTGGCAGCTCTTCATAAGCAGCTTGTGGATTATAAGCAACAAGTGGCGGACTCTTCATGAGCAGCTTGTGTGCTTTGATATTCTTTGAAGACAGCAAGTGGAAGCTCTTCATGAGCAGCTTGTGGGTTATTAACAGCAAGCGGCAGTCTCTTCATGAGCAACTTGTATGTTATTGTCACCTTTGAAAAACGTCAAGCGACAGTCTCTTCATGAGCAACTTGTATGTTATTGATACCTTAGAGAAAACAACAAGTGGAAGACTCTTCATGAGCAGCTTGTGTGCTTTGATATTCTTTGAAGACAGCAAGTGGCAGCTTCTTTATGAGCAGCTTGTGGGTTTTTGGCAACAAGTGGCGGACTCTTCATGAGCAGCTTGTGTGCTTTAATATTCTTTGAAGACAGCAAGTGGCGGTCTCTTCATGAGCAGTTTGCATGTTATTGACACCTTTGAAAGGAAGCAAGTGGCGGCCTCTTTATTTGAGCAGCTTGTGTATCCCCAACAATAATGTCTACTCAGCAAATGGCATCCCTTTCGGAAAAGTCCCGTGGGGAAGTTTGTTATTTTATCCTTTTCAAGCGATATCTTGGTTAAAGAAGAAATGTGTTACCGTTCTTGGTAAAATTCAGAAATCAGAGATGTTTATCTCCAGCCACAGTGCTGATGTCAATCATTTTCCAGTCTCAGTACTGATGTCCATCATTTCCTTTTCCAGTCACAGTGCTGATGTAAATCATTTCTTTTTCCAGTCTTCGTACTGATGTAAATCATCTCTTTTCCAGTCTCAACACTGATGTAAATCATTCAAGAGTCTCTCACTTGAAGTCTATGACTTTGTTTCCCCAGTGGAGTTACAACCTCTTCCTCTGTATAATGTGCTTGGTTTCTCCAGCATAGTCTGTCTCATATGGCGTCATTCCCCATGAAATTCAAAACATCACATTCATATCATATCGTAAACATAATCGCGGTATCTTAAGGCCAAAAATTGTGTATTCTATATTTAAGTCCCTTCAATCTCGTCGAAATGAAGATCCCAATCTTCATATCTCTAGATAGAAGAAACTTAAATAGGGGCAGCTGTTGTACCCCAATTTTTGACCTAAGATCCCATTTTTATTTTTTCATTTTTTAAGATAAGTCAAGGTCACGAAATACGGTCGGTTTTAACGTCTCACCTTCGAGCTTTGACTATGCGAAGATTGTTAAGTGTTTTGAACATTTTTAGCCTATGCATCACTAATTTCTAATCGCATACAAAGGTGTATGTTCATGTTTTCTTTTGTGTCATGTGCAGAGACAGGTCTGAATCAAGAGCATCAGGTGTCGCGCCTCAATTAAGGTTTTGAGTCCCCCAAGCCCGAAGTACGGTTGATTGTGGATTCTCGAAGACTGATTCATCAAGGCACAACCGTTGCACCCTTAATTTCGCCCCTAATATGTTTTAGTCGCACTTTCATATCATATTTTGTTATTTGGTCACGATCATTAGTAAATATCTTCATTCATCACATTTTGCATCATTAGTCGTATTTAAGTTGATCAGAAAAAGTCAGTTTAAATCAAAGTTTGCATCGTCTTTCAGTTGTAAAATACCCGGCATTTTGCTTCATGCATTTTTATCTATTTACTCATTTGTTGCATTGCTCCAAGTTGTTTATATGTCGATAATAAAAATATTTCGGTTTTATAGACAGACTGTTAAAAGCGATTCGACACTATGCGGGAAATTAGCGAGAAAATATTTCAAGTTTTCACCTTTTACCGATCATTTTATGAATCTGCGTTTCGCTTAGATTATGACGGTATGCTCGCTTTATTTTTTCGGTACAGTTCGAAGTCTCGTTTTTAACCTTAAACGTCTGTTTAGTTTGATATTTTTATTATTATTTTATTTTTGATTTTTGACTTCTTGAATATTTTTTCTTTAATCTTCGTGACATGTAGTTTATTTTAATGTGTTCATTTTATTTTATCGGATAAATTTTTGTCCGTTTTTTATCGTTTTTGGTCATTTTGTGTCTTTACTTTTAATTCAGAAAAAATTCAAAAAAAAATATTTTTAATTGAGTTATTTTTTATACTTTCAGGTTTTATTTTATTTTTGTCATTCAGGGACTTTTTGGTCACAAAAAATTATTGATTATACTATGCTTGATTCTTATTGGTTGTTAACACATATTTCGGATAACTAAATTTGCCAATGGAATTGAAAGAAAATCAACGGATGTGATTTACTTTGATATTATATTTTTTCCTCTTGTTTTTTTTCTATTTTAGTAGCCTTGTTTCTTTGTAAAGAAGGGAGAACAAAAAAGCAAACAGGGACCCTTTACTCTCAATTCATTTTCCCTCTCTCTCTCTATGCATAATCCCTCTTCTCTCTTCCTAACACCTCACAACTCCCTTCACTTTCTGTCAAAAAAAGCAACACCACCATACACCCTTTCATCTATTACCCAATCACCATCATCAACATCACCTTCTGTCAAACAAAAAACGCACAGCATATCAACCCACCTCCGCCTATTTCTTCATTCCGCAACATCCCTTATCCATTGTCATACCCTCTCTCCGCCTGCAACCTCCATTTCCCAGCAATCCACCTCACAACTTCGCTACCTTCAATCACCATACAACCTGCCTTCAATTCATCACCCAACCTTCATTTATCCTCTCTGTTTATCGCCATCATCGTACTCCCAGTATCCTTGCTTCCGCTTCATCTTCCATTTTCCTTCCAACAACCATCAAGCCACCACCTCATCGTTCTTCATCCGCTAGCTCTTCAACACCCGTACACCCATCACCTCCCTCTCTGTCCGCGTAAACCCTTTGTTCTCCATCAACGCTCACCACTACTGCCTCCTCTCCACCTCAAACCACCCTTCGAAACTCCATTCACAACATCAAATAATCCCTCTGTACCCCTCCGCTCCAGCTTCATACTCACCAAAACCATCCAAGAAATTAACACCACACAGTGCATAAAACCAAACTTTTGCAAATTCCTAACCTGTATCATCAACACCATTACCAAGATCAATACAACTATGATGCTAACTTATTGAACAAGAAAATTTGAAAAAAGAACAAGTCAAAGGAGCTTTAGAACAAAACAGAAAATAGGAAGCAAACTTCCATCGCTGCAATTGTAAAACTTTGTGTTTCCTTTTGTTGTTCCTTTGTTTGCAGGTTGGTGAGAAAAAGGGAAGGGAATGAAATCGACAACTCCGATACCGTAAGCCTTCAAGCTCCAACGAATCTCTGATTCCCTACGACCTCCATGCTCCGACGAACCACCAGATTCCGACCACCGTCTCTGTCAGCCGGCAAACAACCGCCATCGCTAACTCCCTTCCGCCACTAACTGAACCTCCAATCGCGCCCTGCAACCACAGAACCGAATCTGCGCCAAAAGAAGCTCCGACAATCATCGACGGCATGGATCTAATTCAGTATGTTATCTGCTAATTGACTTCTAATTTGATTTTTTTGTTGTTGTTTAATGATGTTCAGAAAAGAGGGACAAAGGGAGAAGGTGAAAGGGAGATTGTAGGTTGCAAATGATTTCAATTCACCCTCACTGTATGTTTATATTATTGTATAGTTTTATTATTGTTTTTATTTCCACTTGTCACTAATTGATTGGTTGGAGATAAATGTTGAAAAAATTCTTTTTATCTTATTTAGCTTTCACAAAATCATTTAGCGTTGTTTGGATTTTTTTGTTTTGTTTTATCTAATTACTTTTATTTATTTAATTTAGTTTTTATTAGATTTTATTTATTGAATTAGTTAATTTTAGTTGTTAGTAAAAAATCAGAAAAAATACAAAAATAATATAGGTTTATAATTATTTTTCACCTAAAAAAAAATGTCATAAAAATTATATTAGAATTGTCTTTCTTTTATTTTGACTAAATGTTAGTGATTTAATTTCCTTTTTTTTTTCAATTATTCGATCTTTATATTTTGTTTACGCCATAAAAATTATATTACAATTGTCTTTCTTTTATTTTTGATTAATTGTTAGTTGTTTAATTTCTTTTCGATTATTTAATCTTTATATTTTTATTTGCGTCTACTCCAAGGGAAAGATTTAAATTTGTTGACTTCACGTCATCAAATGCATCTCATCCGATCGTGCGAATACTTTTTTTTTCACTTTTTTGTTTGTTTATTATTTTTCTAAACTCAAGATAATTTTCCAAAAGACCCAATTTTAAAACACACACCTTTTAAGTCAAAACTTCGACACTAGGTCGTCGTATCTTCAAAATCTTTCCAACACCGATTTTTAGCCAAACGAACCATTTTAATCAAACAAACAATTTTAACCAAAAACAGATATTTCAAAAGGTTCCTGCGGAGTACCGCAGATGCATTGGGTGCTAATACCTTCCCATTGTATAACCAACCCCCGAACTCTCGGTCTCTTTCAAAAACGCATTGTATTTTTTATTACTTTTAAGTATTATTTTATATTGCATACTTTAGGGTTTTATTTCGCTCTTTTCCTTTTTCCCTTGGAAATAATAAAGCGCGGTGGCGACTCTTGCTTTTTGTGAGTCAAGTTAATTAAATAGCTTGATCTCCGATTTTCACCGCTACAATTATGATATAGTATATATAAAATATTTACAAGGTTTTCTTCTTCTCCGTCACAAAATGTTAGGTTTCTTCATCACTAAGGAACTAAGTTAAAAGTCTTTAAATTAATGATGCATATTTGATGTATATTTGTTATAATTAAAATTAAATGATCAAGTTCGATAATATTTTTATTCACCATATTTATAATGTAATATGGTGTAACAGAAGTAAAAACATTAAATATTTTTCTTCTTCTTTATCAGGAAATTTTAGGTTTCTTCATCACTAAGAAACCTAGTTAAAAGACTATAAATTAATGACACATATTTTTTTATATATTGGTAATAACTAAAAATAAATGATCAAGCTCGGAATTATTTCTATTCACCATATTCAACTTAGATTATGGCAAAATATATGTAAAACATTTAAATACTATTCTTCATCTCCATCACAAAATATATGGTTTCTTCATAAATAATAAACTAAGTTAAAATACTATAAATTAATGACACATATTTTAGATACATTGGTAACAATGAAAATTAAATAATAAAGCTTAATATTATTTTTATTTATCATATTCACATTATATTACGGCATAATATATGTAAAACATTTCAATATGTTGCATCTTCTCCATCGTGAAATTTAAGGTTTCTTCATTACTATGAAACTAAGTTAAATGACTATAAATTAATGACACGTATTTTATATATATTGGTTATAATTAAAGTTAATTGATCTAGCTCGACATTATTTTTATTCACCATATTTATAATATAATATGGTGTAATGGAGGTAAAAACTTTCAATATTTTTCTTTTTCTTTATCACATAATTTTAGGTTTCTTCATCACTAAGAAACTAAGTTAAAAGATTATAAATTAACGACACATATTGGTAATAATTAAAATTAAATAATAAAGCTCGATATTATTTTTACTCACCATATTCACATTATATTATGGTATAATATATGTAAAACATTTCAAAAGATTGCCTCTTATCCGTCACCAAATTTTAGGTTTCTTCATCACCAAGTAACTAAGTTAAAAGTCTTTAAATTAATGATGCACATTTGATATAAATTGTTTATAGTTAAAATTAAATGATCAAGCTCGATATTGTTTTTATTCACCATATTTATGATGTAATATGGTGTAAATAAGATGTAAACTTTAAATATTTTTCTTCTTCTTTATCACCAAATTTTAGGTTTCTCCATTACTAAGAAACTAAGTTAAATGACTATAAATTCATGACACTTGTTTTATATATACTGGTAATAATTAAAGTTAAATGATATAGCTCGATATTATTTTTATTTACTATATTCACATTATATTATGATATAATATGTGTAAAATATTTACAAGGTTTTCTTCTTCTCCATCACAAAATTTTAGGTTTCTTCATCATTAAGAAACTAAGTTAAAAGTCTTTAAATTAATGATGCATATTTGATGTATATTTGTTATAATTAAAATTAAATGATCAAGTTCGATAATATTTTTATGAACCATATTCACATTATATTATAATATAATATATGTAAAAAATTATAAAAGATTGTTTCTTCTCCGTCACCAAATTTTAGGTTTCTTCATCACTAAGTAACTAAATTAAAAGACTACAAATTAATGAAACATATTTTTTATATATTGGTAATAACTAAAAATAATTGATCAAGTTCGGAATTATTTCTATTAACCATATTCACCTTAGATTATAGCAAAATATATGTAAAACATTTAAATACTTTTCTTCTTCTCCATCACAAAATTTATGGTTTCTTCATCACTAATAAACTAAGTTAAAATACTATAAATAAATGACACATATTTTAGATATATTGGTAATAATGAAAATTAAATAATAAAGCTCAATATTATTTTTATTTATCATATTCACATTATATTATGGCATAATATATGTAAAACATTTCAATATATTGCATCTTCTTCATCATGAAATTTAAGGTTTCTTCATTACTAAGAAACTAAGTTAAATGACTATAAATTAATGACACATATTTTATATATATTGGTAATAATTAAAGTTAAATGATCTAGATTGATATTATTTTTATTCACCATGTTTATAATGTAATATGGTGTAATAGAGGTAAAAACTTTCAATATTTTTCTTCTTCTTTATCACAAAATTTTAGTTTTCTTCATCACTAAGAAACTATGTTAAAAGACTATAAATTAATGACACATATTTTTAATATATTTGTAATAATTAAAATTAAATGATAAAGTTCGATATTATTTTTATTCACCATATTCACATTATATTATGGTATAATATATGTAAAACCTTTCAAAAGATTGCCTCTTATCCATCACCAAATTTTAGGTTTCTTCGTCACTAAGTAACTAAGTTAAATGTATTTAAATTAATGATGCATATTTGATATATATTGGTTATAGTTAAAATTAAACGATCAAGCTCAATATTGTTTGTATTCACCATATTTATGATGTAATATGGTGTAAATAAGATAAAAACTTTCAATATTTTTCTTCTTCTTTAACACCAAATTTTAGGTTTCTCCATTACTAAGAAACTAAGTTAAATTACTATAAATTAATGAGACGCGTTTTATATATACTGGTAATAATTAAATTTAAATAATATAGCTCGATATTATTTTTATTTACTATATTCACATTATATTATGATATAGTATATGTAAAATATTTACAAGGTTTTCTTCTTCTCCGTCACAAAATGTTAGGTTTCTTCATCACTAAGGAACTAAGTTAAAAGTCTTTAAATTAATGATGCATATTTGATGTATATTTATTATAATTAAAATTAAATGATCAAGTTCGATAATATTTTTATTCACCATATTTATAATGTAATATGGTGTAACAGAAGTAAAAACATTCAATATTTTTCTTCTTCTTTATCACGAAATTTTAGGTTTCTTCATCACTAAGAAACCTAGTTAAAAGACTATAAATTAATGACACATATTTTTTATATATTGGTAATAACTAAAAATAAATGATCAAGCTCGGAATTATTTCTATTCACCATATTCAACTTAGATTATGGCAAAATATATGTAAAACATTTAAATACTTTTCTTCTTCTCCATCACAAAATATATGGTTTCTTCATAACTAATAAACTAAGTTAAAATACTATAAATTAATGACACATATTTTAGATATATTGGTAACAATGAAAATTAAATAATAAAGCTTAATATTATTTTTATTTATCATATTCACATTATATTACGGCATAATATATGTAAAACATTTCAATATGTTGCATCTTCTCCATCGTGAAATTTAAGGTTTCTTCATTACTATGAAACTAAGTTAAATGACTATAAATTAATGACACGTATTTTATATATATTGGTTATAATTAAAGTTAAATGATCTAGCTCGACATTATTTTTATTCACCATATTTATAATGTAATATGGTGTAATGGAGGTAAAAACTTTCAATATTTTTCTTTTTCTTTATCACAAAATTTTAGGTTTCTTCATCACTAAGAAACTAAGTTAAAAGATTATAAATTAACGACACATATTGGTAATAATTAAAATTAAATGATAAAGCTCGATATTATTTTTACTCACCATATTCACATTATATTATGGTATAATATATGTAAAACGTTTCAAAAGATTGCCTCTTATCCGTCACCAAATTTTCGGTTTCTTCATCACTAAGTAACTAAGTTAAAAGTCTTTAAATTAATGATGCACATTTGATATAAATTGTTTATAGTTAAAATTAAATGATCAAGCTCGATATTGTTTTTATTCACCATATTTATGATGTAATATGGTGTAAATAACATGTAA